TTCATGTTTTGCCAAATTAATGTAAATGTTTGATGTTAAACTTTGATTCTGAAAATAAATGACTCCATTCATTTGATGGGTCAAAGGTAATGACGTCTCTCGTTCACATTTCTGTTAAATTCAATGCACGGCATTTACAGTCAGAAAAATGAAGAACTCGTGAAAAGTATGCATAAATATATACCACATATATTTGTCATACAACAAGTGACACGTACCTACGTGACTCACTACAATTGCACAGACCTTCAGTTTCATCAGTTGCCTTTAGGACTGGTGAATTGGTTACTTTGACTCAGATCTTTTCACCATTCATCAGAACATGACTGCATTAATGTTCCTCCACCTAAAATTTATAAATGCAAAAATCTGCTGTGACCTTTCAAACCTACATTAAATTTATTTGTAAAGGTAAAAGCAAGCATTTTGGACCAGCACCTATGTTTGCAGAATGAGTTATTGAAAAGTTTGATGCTGCAATGTTGCTATGTCCCCGTTTTAGCTGTGTACTGTTCAGAAAATAAAGTATAAAATATTGAAGTAGGACAAAATTGTCATCAGGTTGTGTTTTATGTGAATGTGATGGATTCAGTCATTACACCATATTTATAGAATTGATGTAAAAGTCCACACCCACACTATGCTCCACTGTTTTGTGATTAAATTTGTAGAAAGATTTATAAGTCATTAAATTTGTTGATGTTAGAATGTCTCATCACTGAATAGATGTAGTTGGGACCAGAAATCTCCACCCATTTCTCTAGTTATGATTAATGATTCTTTATTTAAGGCCAAATAAATAACTGAATAGATTATCTCATTGTGAATGCAGCTTTGTATTATTTACTCTTTAATAACTGCATTCTGTGATGTGTGTGTTAACGTAAAAATAAACAGAGATGTATGCGTTTGGTGCTTCTGTTCCTTTAGATTTAATTTCAATTTAATTATCAACTAGCCTGGGTTAAATAGAAGTTTAAAAAAACTTGATTACTCTTTTAGGGGCCAGTTTTGCAGACAAGGCTTAAGGCTAGTTCCAGACTAAAATGCTGTTTGAGCTGGTTTAACTTTAAGTCCCTTGCACAGTCTTATCTTAAAATAGTCACAGATTTAGTCTGTTCTGTATTAAACAAAGCCAATTGCAGGAAGGTGGATCAGAGCTATTCTATGACTAAATTGAAGCTTAAATTAATCCTTCAAAGAGGCAGATTTAACTTCTGCTTAGTATTGCTTGTGAAAGGGAGCAGAGACAGTTTGGCAGCATGGAGTATTTAGAATATCTAATTGAATACCATTATACACAACGAAGGCCGTCCAGAAGAGCACTTGTGGATAGAAGTAATCCATTGAACCTCTTTGATGAAATAACATTCAGAGACGCTTTCGTATGTAGAAAGAAAATGCGTCGGAACTAATTACTTTGCTTGAGCCTAGATTTCCTCTCTGAATCAAAGAGGAAGGCCTGTACCCAGTTCTCTCCAAGTTCTGATCACTTTGACATTCTTGGCATCTGGAATCTTTCATCATGAAACTGGTGATTTGTGTGGTGCCAGTGAAGCAGCTGTGTGTAGAATAGTTCAGAGTATGCAGTGCCATTTGTGAACTGAGGAGCCTATACATCAAATTCCCTTATGCTGCTGAGCAAGCCAACTGTACAGTGTGGTTCTATGAATACGGGCAATTCCCAGGAGTGACTGGCTGTATAGATGGATGTCATGTTGCCATCGTGTCCACCACTCCTGATGCTGAGGAGTACAGGAACCGGAGGAACTGGTTTTCCATCAATGTTCAGGGTGTATGCACACCCAGTTTGAAATTTTCAAACATTGTTGCTCGTTGGAAAGGTGCAATTCATGATTCAAGGATTTTTCTTAACTCCTCATTGTGTGCTCAGTTTGACAGAGAACAGCACAGTGGACTACTACTTGGTGACAGTGGGTATGGTCAGAGTACATATTTATTCACATCATACCTACATCCCACAACAGCTGAGTAACAAAGATAGAACAGAGCTCATGTTCGCACATAAGGGATGGTTGAGCATATATTTGGAGTTTGGAAAAATCGATTCCACTGTTTACGGAATACACTTCTTTTTGAGCCAAGGAGATGCTGCAAAGTGACTGTTGCTACCGCTGTGCTGCACAACTACCTAAAGCAGCATGATTGTCCAGATCCTCCGATGGAAGATCAAGATGATGCAGGCGGCTGTGGCTGAGTGGTTAGAACAGTCGTCCTCCAATACAATAGTTGGAGGTTCGAACCCCACAGCAGTTACATGCCGAAGTGTCTCTGGGCAAGACACTGAACCCCTTGTTGCCTCTGATGTGTGTCCCATCAGTGTATGAATGTGATCTAAAAGCACCGATTAGTCTCAGAATGATTTGTTCAATTAGCTTTGTAGAGATCTAGTAGAGTGCTGTGTGAATGGGTAAATGAGGACACAGATTGTAGTGTAAAGAGCTTTGAGTATCTCAATAAGATAGAAAGGTGCTATATAAGTACAGTCCATTTACCATTTACCATTTGCAGATGTGCCCAGGGCAGTGGCAGGGAATAACCAACGAGGACTTACATACAGAGCTGCTTTCACATTTCAGCACTTCAGTTAAATAAAGATGTATTTAACCGTGAAGTATATTGATCATGACTTATTTTGACTTTAATGGTGTTTGTTGTATACAAAATGTAAAAGTGTGCAGCAAAATTAAACGAATAATTCAACCAAAGCGGATTTAAAATGTAGTTTGTGGTGACAGTATTAACAGTCTTACCAAATAAGATAACAGTTTTATTTACACCATTTATTTAATCACATTTTTTCAGCATAGCTGTCTCATGAAGCTTTCTTTGAGCAGCTCTTCTAATTTCATGTCTAATTCAACCTGTAAAATTCTCATGTTTATGTCATGCTCTTCTTTCAGATATTTCGTTTTCTGCTCATGAAACTCTAGGGCTAGTTTTTCATAGACATGCTTTTTGGTCTCTGCTGGAAGGTAATGGCAGCATCTTCTCTCTGGCATGCCTCGCCAGATGTGGAGGGTGCACAGGCACTGTGCGCTGGCTCTTCCATCAGGATAAGTGTAGTTTCCCCTGTGTAAAGCGCACTGTTAGAAACACAAACCGGTGTGGTCCTTAGACTGACGTACAAATATAGACACAAACAGGAGAATATTTGTACAGAAGGAGGTAACCTTTCTTTGGTAAATTTACCATTTGTGTTCTGTTCTTCATGTCTACTGTCCACATGGTCATCGTCTGGTATACCTTCCAGAGGCTGATGGTCTTCTATAATTCCAGACAACAAGTCACCCAATGCATCTGTTTTGTCTTTCCTTGGTGGTGGTCCACCACAAGTAGTAAATCGTTCTCTTCTAGCTTCTGCATCTTTTTTTTTTTTCAGATTTAGTTTTATGTTCTTCCACAGGGTCTATGAAGGCAGATAGCATTGAATATAAACAATATATTAATCATAGCACTGAATATAAAAACAATAGTAATAATAATCCCTATTTATGAAGCAACTTTCAATCAAATATGTAGCTCAAAAACTGGCCGTCAGCATTACAGTGAAAACCACCCGCTTATGCAATAAAATAAGACAATGCAATATGAAACAACATAGAAGAATACAATAAAAAAGTTATTAATACAAATTACAGCCCAAGCACTCTTCTTCTTATGCTCAGTAGAAGCAGTATGGCTCTTACTTTCACTGACAGGATGATTTGTGACAATTTGTTTAAGTAAAGTTTTTTCATACTCTGTATAGTTTTTTGAATGAGTTCTTTTAGCTTCAGCCATTGTTTGGAGTCAAAATTCACTCCAGAAATGCTGCCCTCAGTTCCATTCCAGATTTTTATGAGCAAAAGTAAACCAACAGGTTGTGCTCCTACTTAGGCTAATGAGGCTTGATCCAGGTGTTCCCATTAGGCTTACTTCAGGACTCCATAGTCTTAGACTAACTAAAACAAAGTTAAGCCATGTTCAAGCAAGCCGCTTAAATGCCCAAGTTTAACAAGTCCAGAATAGGCTTACTCCTGTCTTAATCTAAGCCTTGTCTGCAAAACCAGCCCTAGATGCATTTCACTTTTTCACCAAGGTTTTTTTAATGTGCATTTTCAAGTCCTACTTTTAAAAATGTGAATTGTAGCAGCAGATAAAAAAAAGTGGAATTATTCTAAGCTTTGGCAGTAGTTTGTGTTTGGTTTTGCCTTTTTCAAAAATTATTTATGGCACAAAATGGAGTATTAGAAATGCCTAACCCTCTCAGAACCGACTGTGAGGAATCAACAGTGCCTCCAGACAACAAACCTGACCAATGATGAAGAGTTTAGAAAGTAATTTAACAAATCAAGGTGAACAAAAATTAAAGCAAACAAAATATTTCATGTGTTTTTTGCCGTTTCCTTTGAGATGGGTAGTTTTAAATCTTAAGCCTGACTTGCATCAGAAAGTGTCTAAAATAACCCTGGAACACTTTGCTTTACCTTTCATAGTAGTTTAGAAAACTAGTGAACGAAGTCAACCAGAATGTGACTTTTGTAGACAGAGCAAACTAGATGTGTAGAGAAAAAAACATAAAAACTATGTGTCTACTAAAAATGTTAACATTGGCAAATTATCATAGTCAGCATCACTGATTGAAATGATTATTAGTGCTAGACCTACAGGACTTTAAGTATCTGTTATTCCTCTTAAATTTGATCTATACAGACACCATAACCGATACTGTTTTGTGCAATGAGTGTAACACAAGACCTAAAACAGCATTTGTTTGAGCCTCAACAATGTTTTCAGTTTTAAAAAGTGTGAGTAAGAATTTTTGTTTGATTCTCAAAACTCACATTGTCTACTGTGGATAAGATATTGTCTGCTTATAATATATATATATATATATATATATATATATATATATATATATATATACAATTTTTTTTTTTTTACATTTATTTTTTTTGTGCAGGTGGTAATGTTGTTTCTTTACCTTTTCTCCACAGTGTACCCAGACCTTTGTAATATTAGCCTGGTAGCTGTGGGAGATGCACAGAAGCACCAAGAACGCATTGCATTCTGGGATGATGTGTATGGCTTCAACATGGCGTGCATGAAGAAGGCTGTGGTTCCTGAGGCAGTAGTGGAAGTGGTGAACAAAGACACACTTATTTCTGAACCTACAGTCATACAGGTAAACATTTTGGTATGATCAGTGATAACTGTTATATGTGGTGATGACCTGTCAGATTTGATCATGAATAAAACATTAATTCAGTAAGAGAGTAATTACTCATTTCAAAGGGGAAAACCTGCTGTCAGTCTGTATGTTATAGTACAGCACACAATCAGGGCTCATCATCTTTCAGGATGGTTGTTTTGTTGATGAGAGGTTCAGTCACCAATGCTCTCAAATGGACTAAACTTGTTTAACCCCATAGATATTTATTGTTCCCATAAAGCACATTTGATTTAGACTACACAGTGCTTGACCCATTACTAACTTTAACATTAAAAGTGGTGGCACAGTTGGTAGGGCTGCTGCCTCTCAGCAAGAAGGTTGCTGGATCGCACCACGGCCAGGGAACCATTCTGGGTGGTTTGCTTGTTCTTTCTGTGCATGCGTGGGTTTTCTCTGGGTGCTCCGGTTTCCTTCCACAGACCAAAAACATGCATGTTAGACTGCTTGGTAACTCTAAATTGTCCCTAGGTGTGAGTGAGCGAGTGAATGGTTGTTTGTCTTGTTTGTCTATGTGTCCCTGTGATGGACTGGAGACCTGTCCAGTGTGTCCCCTGCTTCTCCCACAGGGACTGGTGGACACCAGTGACCCCCATGACCCAGTGAGACACAGTGATCTCTCACTAAAGGCTCCCACAGACTCGGGCGGACTGAGAGCTGCACGGAAACTGCACAGACTGTCCGCAGAGGGTTGAGACTTCATCCTCGAGCGTCCATCCTGACAGGCTGCAGCCAGCTCTGCAGGCAAGGGGTGTTTACCTTCGGGACAAATTGAGGTCGCCGGTTGGTCATTTGCTGACATGCCTACTGGATTGATTGACAGGTTGCAAAGAAGAAAACAAAGGAGAGCTGGCAGCAAGCGGCAGCAGTGTTCTGTGTTTATATGTTGTTAATGAAAAGTTCTAAAAAATAAATTAAAAAAACAGGGAGCGCTGGCCCTGCAGCCCACACATCAGACCGGCCCACCAGGAAATCTCCAGACCCTCCCGCAGCCTCGCCGGACCTGATTTTAATTCTCTCGTGACAAATTCCTTCATTTCTCACAAGTTCAGTCATGGCGTCAACGGACGAGGAGGAAGAGATCGCTTGCCTTTTGGGAATAAAAACAAAAAACAAAGAAAAGGCCATTAAACCAGACCATGGATGAAGAAGGTGAATTTAATACATTGGTGTCACATACAAAACAGTTTGTCACTGGGCAGTTTATTGTGCGCGACACAGAGTACATGTACGCAGTCGTAAAAATTGATCTTTGCGCAGACATACCTTGTGGGCGTCCGCTTCGACTCTAATCCGGTACGCATGGACCTCCGCAGACTGACGTACGCCTGACTATGTGGGAGCCTTTATCGTGGGGGTTACATTCTAGAGACCCTCGCGAAAAGTGAAAATCTGCGAAGTAACTATATTTATTTTTATTATTTTTATATATATAATTTTCCACTCTCCTATAAACATTTCATATGCTTTTAAAGAGATTGGCGATGAACCACGACATAGCGAGAGACGACTGTATATGAATATAAATTGAGAGTAATAATAGTTTGTCCAAAAGATATAAATTGAAGATTAGATGTGTCGTTTAGATATTCACTATAGAAAAAAGAACACTTCTACATGCAACTCTTCTTACCATTAAAGTAACTTTGAAGAGAAACCCAACATGTATCAGCCATGTATTAGCAATACAATGTGTTTGTCAGGTTTGCCCTGCAGAAACACAGATAGGAGAAATTACGTTTTTGAGGCTAAAGCTGTAGGAAAGACAGGATGAAAGCAAACATAATCCAAGGAGAGAGAGAGCTGTAAATTTTAAGGAAGCGTATCTGTGTTTGTGGTGATGCTGTAGAGCTGGGTGATTGATCAGTCTTATCCGTATTTAAGTTCTACTTAAGGAAACTTCATTACTCTCAGCTGGCTAAGATAGAGCAGTTTTTTACAGAGTTGATGGGCAAGCATACTCATTACTTTGAGATAAAACACTCACACGCATAATGAGCTGAAACAGTCTCGCATGTAAGAAAACAAAATATATAGGAAAGCTCTTTCCTCTTTATTCCACTGTGTGTTTCTTTGCCAGTTAACCCCTTTGCAAAGCGTTGCATTTTCCACCCATCTGGGAGTGTGATGAATGAGGGGAGAAGTTTGATGTAATGGAATTTGAGTTCTCTAATCAATAGTTTCTCCCCTCCAGTGACAAATAGACACTGCCTTTACCCAAATTACAAGGACTCTCATCTATTGTGTCTCGTTGATACGATCCAATAACATTCCATTAAGACTGACTGCAATTCCGTAAAATTGAGAGCAGTTTCATGGAATTATAAATTCCCGCTGAACAGATTTTTTATTTTTTTTATCCACCACCTACCCTCCATTGTCAACAGACTGACAAGTTTTAATTAGGGAATGTGAACTTGCTGTTATTTTAGAAAGCCTCTTGTTTCTTTATTGTAATTTAGTTTGGGGTTTTTTTGTACAATTTTGAAAAGGTTACTTGTTTTTTGGCAGGTGGTTTTATTTTTATTTTCTGTTATCTACTTACGTATCTTGGATTATATGTTTATTTGATCAAAACATCATAAAATTAAACTAATGTTTTGTTTTTTCTCTGTTATCAATAGAGCTTTTTCTCCATTTTTAAATTTGCAATCATTCTTCACATGAATATATCTGGCTATATCTGTTTTGTAAATTAAGACATGTTAGGTTGCAGAAGCATTAGGATGAGATCAGCAGAAACATACAGTTAAACAGAGACCCTATTTAACGATAGGTGGTTTCTTTTCACAAAGATGGCCTCCTTTACTCCTCACTCAAACCATCGTTCCTCTCTGTCCAGGATGCGAACATCTTAACCTCTGAAAGAGTGACCGCTGGCCTGGAGATGAGTGTAGACTGCAGAGTCCTGGCCTGATGATGTTGCTCTTCTGTGCTGGGATGTCCTTTTGGCCAGTGGCTGTTTAGTTTCCTCAATGTATACTGTAATTGCCGGTCTATATAGCACGCCCAAATATAAGCCACACACCCTAAATAAAAATAATAATAATAATTTGTACATATATAAGCCGCACTTGAGTATAAGCCGCAGGCGTTCATGTTGTAACATGAATGGCACACGGCTACTGAGAGAGACTGCTCTTGTTGTAGATCAAGAATTAACTAGAGATGCACGATACACTTTTTTTTTTTTACTTCCGATCCGATCCGTAGATCTGGATATTGTCCGATACTATTCCGATACCGTTCCGATATCATCATCATTATTGATTTTATATGAGGCTGTAATAATCTCTTCTCTTCAGGCAAGTATAATTTGTAACAATATATGCATGCTTGTCCAGAAAGGCAACTTGAGTTCAGTTTTATTAATGCTGGCTAAGTTTCAAAGTTAGAATTAAATCCTGCCAACACAAAACATGTTGTTGGTTTTTTTTCCTAGCTTTAAAGTGAATATTGAAGTGATTAAATGGCTTCAGACATCTGCTAAGTTCATGGCAGAAACCAACACAGACATGTTCCTGTTAGTAGTACTTTACATTGCTTTATAATGTAGCTGTTTTTGCGTCATATATATATATATATATATATATATATATATATATATATATATATATATATAATTTTATTTTATTTTTCAATTCATATGCTTATTTATGATTGTCTACTGTTGTACTGATAAACATCTCCTGGAGGGTAAGCTATATCTTGGCTGCAAGTATTCAATCAAGCTGCGAAATCCTTCATTTTCTACAACTGATAGCGGTTGGTCATTATTTACGATGAAGTTTAGCAACTTCTCGGTAATCCCTTTAGCTTTCAAGTTGTCCAGCGGAAGTTTACTTTGCTGTTTGAACGACTCCAGACGTGATTTCTGCTGGCTCCTTTAGTCTTTCTCCCGCCTGGCTAAACAATCCTCTTGCTCTTTAATGTGGTCCTTTCTCAAATGTTTGATTAAGTTTGTTGTATTGTAGGTCACGACGGAGCTTCCCCCTCTCTGTACTTCATCTCTGCAGACATTGCATGTTGCTGTCTTGCTTTGCGGTGTTTCTAGTGTAAAATACTTCCTTCAGCAGACATGTTGCGATGAAAAGTTGGTTAGCCGTTAGCCACAGTGCTGCTCAGTCCTCACGTATTTACTCATGTTCAAGCTGGCTGCAAACTATGAAATGGATTTCCTGAATGTGAGACGGGTCTTGTTTCTTTGGGTTTCATGAAACAAGCCTCCATTCTGGAAATTCAGTCCATAGTTTGAAGCCAACTTGCAGAGCAGCTGGCAGGGAATCACATGAGGAGAAGTTTCAACAGACACAGACATGCATCATGGATCGGAAATCTCTGCAGGTTGGATCGGAAAAATCTGATACGTAAATTATGCTGTATCGGAACCTGATACCAATACCGGATTAGATTGGCCCGTCCCTAGAATCAACCACCAGGTGGCATTTTATCAACTTTATCTTGCTGTTCAACACACCCTGACAGTGAACCCCACAGGTCTTTATGACAACTAACCTGTACCTCCCTCACTCATGGTTACTGGTATTCTATTGAATAGCCTAACACAAACTAATACATAATCAGTTCTTCTCATGCTAAGCATTTCATTACACTGTTAACTTTGTGTTAACCTTGCGACAAATAAACACAACTTGAACTTAAATGTTCTTTTGGGTTTTTTTTTTCTGAACAGTGCCGGTAACACTGTTTGGTTATTAAAAATAACAGTAGCCTACTAGGAAGTCATTGATTGCTATATTCCTTCTGCTGTAAGCTTGTGCTCCGTAGAGCAAAATTGTTCTGTGAGCATGTGAGACTCACATGCTCGGCACATGCAGTGGTATCCCCCATCCCATTATCTCCTCCCCTCCCCATTTCATTGGTTTGACTATGACCTGTTCGATAATTTCATTGGTCAGATTTTTTTTTCTTTTTTTTACCTTTATACATGTAGT